ACAATTTTAAATTCCACTAATTAACTCATTCCATCATTCATCTTCAGTAGATAAACTGAATCCCATGCAATTTACAGTTCATGGGTCTTTCTATTATAATTTTAAAAATTAGGGTCAGGATTGTTCTTGGGTTTCCAAGAAATCCAGCGCACACAGGAACAGGCCAAGAGAAGAAAGGGCACTTTGGATTCAGGACTGTTAGAGCAGCTCCCTGGATTGCCTAAATCATGCTGTTTCTTACATTACACCAATCCTATATAAGATGCCTATAGGAAACTCTACAACTCGGAGGCGCTCCATCTCTATATCACTTTATTCTACTGTCTCTCCTCTTCCTGCACCTGACATTCATCCTGCATGGGAAAGAAGCCTCTGGAGAGCAGGCTATAATAGTCCTATGAAGTGTCTGTGTTGGGTTAATTCTTTCCAGGGCAGAAAATATCTGCCACAGCATTATCCAGGGGCTATGTGTGGAGGGAGGGGGGTTGGAAGGGAGGGTTCCTGACTAGTTTCCATCTGCACTTCTGGCCCAGAGTTGGGAGAACACAAATGTGAGCTCTTTGCTGTAACCAGTGATCTGGCCATGGCTACTTAGCAGCTATTCAGAAACATTAGCCATTCTTGAATACCACACCAATCCCAAACAAATACACAAAGAATTTGGCCTTGGATCAACCACAATCAGCACAGAACTGCACACTCTGCAGTACCTTAGCACAAGTCCATCCTTTCAGTCAAGAGGCCAGTTATGTCATGGTTTAATTTGTTTTAACACTGTGTAATTTAATGAATGAGACTACTACAGTCAGTAGCGTTAATGTCCAGCGAACACTGAATGCCTCATCAAGGTCTAAGTTTAGATTTACTTTTGCAAATAACTGAAATTGATGTGAAAGAACAGTTCAGTTCCTCCTTTTAATCATACTGAATAACTAAATTGCTTTAATACTCATTAGGGATAATCTGAGTTAATTCCGTCTAAACCCACACATTTCTAAAAATCTTTAGCCACACATCAGCAAATTGTACAACCACCACAGATTCTCTCTTCTTCCTTCAAAATGTTAGAAAAGAATAAAAGCTGGTTCACAGGATAACAAAGCTGTTTATTTCTCATCTGTCATAGAGGAGCTAAGATTGGACCAAATGAGAGAGGACTGAAAAGGGGAGAGAGGAAGATAAATAAGAAAATGAAGCTGGATCAATGAGTACACATGCCTCTCACCATAAAAGAATAGGCAAGCTGTAGCAAAGTTTGGCTCCTAAGTTTTTAGGATTGTCACTGGGTATTAACCACTAGACTCTGGACATATTTCAGCTGTTGGCAGCTTTCTTCATGATTTGCAACATTTAAACATTTTCTGAAACATGTTTCCTCTTATATGATCTAAACTCCTTCCCTACAGCTTTATAAATGGAAATGTGTTTATCTGGATTGGTTGAAATTCAATACAATGTATGATTTGTGAAGGAAAGAGCAAAACACACCATTCTATTACCATTTTTATTTCCTGAAGTGACTCAGTATAGACCCCCCCAAAGGCAGGGTCAATTTAGCCTTCCATTATAGGTGATGTCACATACAGTCTTCAGCTTCCCCACAGTAGATGTGAGATCCATTATAGGTGATGTCACATACAGTCAGTCTTCAGCTTCCACACAGTACATGTGAGGAATGGTGAATGTAGCTAGTTCCCCCGTGGCAATATTTACAGCATGTGCAGTATCTGTTAATTTACCTGCTCTGAATGTCTGCTATGTGCTGGACAGCACAAGTGTGCTGCAAGTGCAAGATTAAAAAAAATAGATGATGATCAGAATTGATAGTGCAGGGAAACTTGATCCTGCCCTAAGAGGAATGCTGTGTCAGCCAGCAGGATCCTCATGCTTAGTAGTAGAAGAATAGCCAAAGCAGGGAGTGATTTCATGCTGAGGATCCACTTAAGACCACACCTTCTCAGATGCAACCCTCCTCTGTCCATATTCCTGTGCAGAGTCTCTTGAGAAATGATGGCACAGGGAACAGACGTTTGTTTCCAGATGTTATCGACTGATCAAGTTTCAATGTTCTTCATACGATATTTGAATGGCTGTCTTTACTGTAACTCCCATAAACTTTAACTATATGGCTGTGTCTACACTGGCATGATTTTGCGCAAATACTTTTAACGCAAGAGTTTTTGCATTAAAGTATTTGCACAAGAGAGCGTCTATACTGGCATGTGCCTTTGCACAAAAGCTTTTAGCCATCAGGCTTTCTTGCACAAGAGGACTTATCCCTGAGCAGGAGTGTCAGAGTATTTGCGCAAGAAGCACTGATTTCATATAGTAGAACGTCAGTGTTCTTGCGCAAATACTCACGGCCAGTGTAGACAGGCACCAAGATTTTGCGCAAAAGCAGCTGCTTTTGCGCTAAATCTTGCCAATGTATACACAGCCTAACAGTAGTAGCCGCCATTTTTAAAACCCCGCTGGTTCGAACCCCTGGTTCGAACGGCTACACGGGGCTCGAACTAGGTAGTTCGGACTAGGCTTCCTATTCCGAACTACTGGTACACCTCGAACTAGCGGGGTAGTGTAGACGTACGCATAGTCTCTACACACCAAGGCATGTGCTGATGTGTACGACCAGTAGAAATACATACTGACAGCTATGGGTGCTCTTCTAATCATCTGGGTAGCCACCCAAGTGGTCAACTTACAGGAAACCCTGGTCCTAAATACATTTTTGTTTTGGAAAAGCAGCTGGTGTACAGCAAGCATCCATGTAAAATAAGAACCCACTAGTAAAGTTTTTCTCTTCATTTATTTAAAGTTGAATCCTATTAAAGAAGTAATAGAAATCTGTACTGAATTTGAAAGACAGAAGATTTATTCATCAGGAGAATCACAAATGGTAAGAATTTCTTATATAATTTTCTGCTGCGTTTCTACATGAAACCACTTCTGAGATATTTCAGTTCTTTGGTTAATTCATTCTGAGATTAGAACTGCTTGGAGGCATCTATGAAGAAAAGAATTAAAATCCAGATGTCAGAGAAAATTTTGATGGCAGGAGATACCTTTCCAGTGAAATGCAGGGCTTGATTCAGCTCTCATTTAGGCTGGTATAAACCAAGAGTAATTCCGCTGAAATCAGTAGAGTTATAGCACTGTAAACCTGTGCAAATGGAACCAGAATCCAGCCTGGAACCATCTGCTGTGCATGTGCTTGATTTTGCAACCGGCTGGGAAGGTATTTAACTATTAGCAGATGGTGGAACCCTGTAGGGAGAGATGGCGACTGATTCTTGTTGACTCACTGTGGCACATCTTGCTTGTTAAATCCACCATGGATATAAATTGAGGTGCAAATTGGTCTGTGGGTGGAAGAAATTGGGGTGCATGATAAAGTTGTTACATGAAAAGTCTATGAACAGCCAACCTTGGAAAGAAAACTTAGGCCTAATTTGTTTTATTGTTGAGCAGAGTTTCCAATAAAACCAAAAGGTAGAGAGGCTAAGTTTTGATGAAATACAACAGGCCAGATCCTGAACACCCCCCACAGCAGCTTTGCCCTGTCAATGGGAAGCAGTGGGGTGGGATTCAGCTCTACTATGTGACTGGAGGTTTCACTAGTGCAGAGGAATTCCTTGGCAGCACAGTGCCAGCAAAATCAAAACCATCTCTGGGAACTGGGTCCAGTGTAGAGGCATATCAGAGGCACCGACTAAAGTGCTGCTCTTTTCTGGTGCCATCAAGTGGAGTGACTCTGGGAAGCTGTTGCCAGTCAGTCCTAGCTAAAGAAGTTCTTAAGTTGTGTTGGGGTCCTGAACCAGACCTACCTTCCCCCCACACCAGCTGGCAAAGTGGAACTCTGCTGCAGCTAAGGTTCTCTCCCCCTCCCCCACAGTTCCTTTATGTCATAATTTGGAACTGTCAACGTTATGGGAGTTCTGTAGGGCATGCAGCACCACATCTGTTTCTACTTAGCTGTGCTGCTATAGGGTTGGACTGCTTGATCTCTTGAGGTCTCTTCCAACTCTGGTCTGCTAAGATTCCATAGGGCCCAAGCAGACATGTACTTGGATTGGAGTCGCTCAGGTCACCCACTCCTTGGAATAATGTCTGGTCTTCAGTGCCCATCGGCTGAGCTGTGGGTTGGATCCACAAAGCGATTCTGTCCCTCACAGTTCTGAGAAATGCCCCTGTGATGGCAGACTGGTCCCAAGCTCCGTGTCTCATCAGGGAGAAGGGTGCCAAAGCCCCGAAGGGAAGAGCTGCTTTTTCCAGGGGTAGCTTCTGGCTAGCTAATGCCATACAAGCCCGCCTTCCAGACCAGAGCATCAGGCTCCACCAGAGACCTGCTCTGGGGCAGCTTCTCTCAGCCTCCTACTCCCAGTAAAACATGTGGGGTTTCCAGAAGACACACCGTCGCCTCAGCTGTGGGCAAGCCCTAGTACTGAAGTTTCTCCTGCAAGAAGGGCTAATGGGCGGCTGGGTCCCCCTCATTCCCCTGACTCCTGCAGCTGTGGCTCTGGGGGACTTCACTGAAAGCAGCGGGAGAAGCCCCCGCTCCGAGAACACATCCAAGATGGCCGGCTGGTTGGCTCTACCTGGGAGCTGGGTGTCCGGGGACCCCGACAGTAGGTGGGCTGCTTTGGGCGCCCAGAGGAGTCTCCCTCTGGCCATCGCCAACTTCCTCCTTCAGCACCCAGGGAGAGGAAATCGTGTCTGGGCGGAGAGGCAAGGGCCCCAGATTCAGTGTGCGAAAGGGCGGCGGCGACTGCTCCCTGGGCTAGAGAGCAGGTAGCGAGCCGAGCCCTCTGCTCCAGCAACGCGGGGAAAGGACAACTC